CGAACAAGATCTGATTGCAGGTGTAGATGATGTACCAGAAAGGGAGGTAATCGATTTTGTAAACAACAGTTATGGTGATCTATTCTTAAACTTTCTTACTGGAAGTAATTAATGTGTACTCAATGGTCGCGTTGGCCACCGGGATTTTACATATGTGAAGAATGGTGCTTCAGTTGTTGATTATGTTGTTACCGCTCAAGAAAATCTTAGTAGCTATTTAGATTTTAACGTTGTTAGGATGTCAGATATGGTAGACGGTACAAACATGCCGGACACTATCCTGATCATTCATTTTTGAAATGGGCAATTGCTCTCCCGCACTCTGGCGCCCCAGATAACGTTGATCAAGGTCCTGTCTTAAAAAGTGGTGAAACGTTTCGACAAGATAAGATAGGATCAGATTTCTTAACTAACGATGACTCATTCAATAGGGTTAATACAACTATTCATAAAATAGAGAATATGCTACAGACTGCTGAGAATATTGATGATGCTTATCAAGAGTTTGTGACACTCCTGCAAGACGAAATGGAGAGGACGGTTGGATCATCGTCAGGACAACCGAGGAGACCAAAGAAATCTCTGTACAAGCCCTACTGGAATGAAGAGTTGCAACAGTTGTGGGAAGTCTCTAACACTGCTGAGAAGAACTGGTCCAAATGTAAGTCCACTGTTTTCGTAAACGTGAACTTAGACATGTTTCCGTTAGTGCTAGGAAAACATTTGATCGAACTCTACGTAGGTACAAGAGACAACATCAATTAGCAAGTCAAAAGAAACTACTGGAAAAGTATGAACATACCAATAGTAAAGAGTTCTGGAAGGTCATAGGAAAGATTGGTGTCAGTAATGAAAGGTCAAGTCAAATCCCATGGGAAGTGGTGAAGGGACAATGGCACATTTACAGATAAGAGGCTAGTGCTTGAGACATGGCAGGAATCTTTTGAAGACATATATGCTGCAGATGGAAACTTTGATGATCAACATATTCAACACATACGTCAACAGCTGTATAATGGTAATATCGAACCTGATTATAACGTTGACATTAGGGTTGCGACGGGTACTCGAGTACCCGATAACGGGTCGGGTAGCCTAGGACTCGAGTCCAATTTTCAGGACTCGAGTACCCGTTCAGGGGAGATAACTCGCAAGTCACTTCAAAATGGACGACAAAGCGGACAAACGTTCAAATGTTTGGGTGTATTTTGACCTTGATGACACAGAGAAAAAGACCAAATGCCGTTTCTGTGCCATATGTATCAGCTATGCAGGTAGTTCGACGAGTTCCATGAAAAAGCATCTAAGTTTTAAACACAAGAGCATTTACTTTGATATTCAGCGTCACTTGTGGTTTTAGGTAAGCAATGCAGGCATTTAATAAAAAAAACATAATACCTTAGAATAGATCAATAGATGTTTGATGACCTTTTTTTCGCAAAAGCATTACAAACAAGTGGGACAACATTGAACTACGGGTACTCGTCCGGTTCGGGTATTCTCTGCCGGGTACTCGAGTTCAGTTTGCGTACCCGGTCGCAACCCTAGTTGACATAACAAGGTTGAATTGCCCAATTACTCAAGCTGAAGTCGAGCAAGCAGTTACCAGGGCAAATCGTGGCAAATCGTGGCAAATCGGTAGGAGTAGATTTGATCTCAGCTGAAGCACTCAAAAATGCATCCTGTAAAGACATCTTGTTTAGAATGTTTACACATTGCTTTGAGAATAACATCTGTCCAGAGACATGGAAGAGAGCAATCATTCACCCATTGAAGAAAGCCAATGCTGACCCTAAAGATCCATATGGTTATCGAGGAATATCACTACTTTCTATTCCATGCAAGATATATGCTGATATATTGAATACCAGGTTCAGTAACTGGTTAGAAAGCAATAGCGTGTTAGTAGAGGAACAGAACGGTTTCAGAAAACATAGGAGCACACAAAAACACATACAGTAAACTACGGTTATAACGAACTCAAAGGGACTACTAATTTTAGTTCGTTATAACCGTAGTTCGTTATATATATGTACATATACAGCATGACTACAGCAAGTAGTCGGGACCAAAAAGTAAGTTCGTTATATCCGTCAGTTCGTTATAAGCGTGTTCGTTATAACCGTAGTTTACTGTATACACTTTATTCTCGTTAATTCACGGTAGAAACCAGAGTAAACAATCAACTTTTGTTTGTTTCATAGATGCGATGAAGGCATTTGATAGGGTGAACAAAAGCTGCCTGTGGTACAAATTACAGAAGCTTGGAGTGTCTGGAAAATTCTACGACGCAGTGGTATCCATGTATGAGAATACAACGAGTCAAGTTAGAGTAAATGGTTACCTTACTGACCCGTTTAATGTGTCCAGTGGAGTCCGTCAAGGCTGTATCTTATCGCCGTCTATGTTCTCCGTTTTTGTAAACGATTTAGCAATTGAAATCAATAACCTGCAGTGTGGAATCAAGGTCAATGACAGTATGTTGAGTATACTCTTATTTGCAGATGATATTGCACTTATTGCTCCAGATGAAAGAAGTTTACAGCGTATGTTGGACACAGTCAGCGCCTGGTGTTCCAGATGGAGACTAAAAGTAAACATCAACAAGACTAATGCTGTCCATTTCAGATGCAAAGGGAAAGACAAATCTGACTTTATTTTCTCAATCTCGGGACAGGTTGTGCACTATACAAAGGCATACAAGTACCTTGGTCTGTGGTTCGAAGAAAACTTGGACATGAATTTCGCTACGAAAGAACTAGCTAAGTCAGCTAACAGAGCTCTATCAGTTATAATCAGTAAGTTCAAACAAACTGGTGGCATGGCGTTTGAGGTTTATAATACACTCTACAACAATTTAGTTGTACCGATCCTAACGTATGGAGCTGGAGTGTGGGGAACAAGGGAGTTTAGATGCATAAATAATGTTCACCACCGTGCTGGCAGATTTTTCCTTGGAGTTGGCGCGAAAACCCCTAACCCAGCTGTCAGAGGCGAACTGGAATGGTACTCATGCCTCACCCAACAACAGATTGAAATAATCAGACTTTGGAAAAGGATCAATCGTCTTGACCCAAATAGAACGCCCAGAGTTGTCCTAGCTTGGTCTCTTCGATACAGGAAAGGATGGGCAAACACAGTGATTACTCTGCTTCAAAGACTGAACTTGAATATTCAGGATATACACAACATGAACGAATTTGAATTAAACTGTGTCAAATCAAAGCTGTTAGAACTTGACAAAGAAAAGTGGCTTACAAGTCTCCATGATGATAGTGGACAGAGTAATGGAAACAAGTTGCGGACGTATAGGATTTTCAAGACCTACCTGACAACAGAAACCTATGTAAACAAGATAATGCCAAGATCACACAGAAGTATCCTAGCTAAGTTTCGCTGTGGAACTCTCCCTCTAGAAATAGAGACCGGTAGAATATGTAGGCCATCTGTACGGCTGCAAAATAGAGTCTGTAAATTCTGTCACCATTCATATGTCGAGGACGAAATGCACTTCCTTTTAAAATGCCCCTTTTATTCTGATTTTAGAATCTTACTGCTCGAAAAAGCAAATCTGGCCAACGCGACCGTACATGATGTAGATAAACTTATGCTCTTGATGAATAACCCACATATACAAAGTGTTTTAGCTACAACAATTCTAAAAATGTTTCGCAGGAGGATGCAGACTAAAGACGTGCTTGTCTGAGATGTAAAGTCACTTTCCCTGAAAAATAACGGTCTTCATATTATTAGATCAATAATTTCATTGGAAAAGAGTTTAAAGATGTAAAGGTTGGAGTTATCACTTGTTATATTTGCTCACATTATTTTCTAAATTGAGAATTTAAAGACTAATAAGGTTACACAATGGCAACAGTCTAAACTATGTCTGCTGAAAGTATAATTTGTTATGCTTAATAGAAGATACTCTCTAATATTAACAGCTTGCAAGTATGTGCTAATCAAAGGGTTAAACAATGTCGGTGTTAACTTGCAGGTAAAGAAGTGTTTGTCTTGTGGTAGAGCGTCAGCCAGGAGAGCGGAAGGTCCAGGGTTCGATCCCGGGCCGCGTCATACAAAAAGACGTTAAAAGATTGTACTTGTTGTTACCCTGTCTGGCGCTCGGCATTAAGGGGCTAAAACAAGGACTGGTCGGCTCGGAGTCAGTATACTGTGTCTGAGTGGGGTATTCATGTTAAACTGCGGCATGGTATCTCAGTGAGCTAGCACTATAAATCGGCATCAGTCCGGACTAGTATAAGCAGCCACACACACACATACACGTGCATACACGTCGCTATATAAGTGCAATAATCTTGGACGCGACGTTAAACCCAATTTCACCTCACCTCACCTAACAGACCTGTCTCATCTTATGGTGATATTATTTGAATACATGTGTTGTGTCGGATCTTTCTGAAGAGCATGTTGTGCAAAACACGCTCATGTCAACTCTCTTTTTGAGTAACTAGTTTATTCCGGGATACAGCTGGTTGTTGTATGGCTGTCAGTGTAAACATGAAGTCACGGTATTAAATAAAATTGTGTATAGATCTAGAAGGCCTACATTCTTTGAGGTTCGAAATTGTGATAAAAAATTAAAAGAATTGACTTTTACTTTGTGTGAGTTCATTGGAATATGAACCTTTATAGAGTTAGGGCAAACTCGCACAAAGTGAAAGTCTTAAATATCCTTCTTCAAAAAGTGACTTCTACTGCAGTATAGGTATATTTGATATGCAGAATTATTCGCTTGGGCAATCACTCGTGTCAATACAAAACCTGTTATATCCAGGAACTATATACGCTATTATTAGTATTACATGTTCATTCGAACTGTGTAGTTGATAATCATTATCAGTATATATAAAATAATAACCATGTTATGCTAAACGGAACTTCGATGATTTTCATGAAACACTGAAGAACATAGAACACTGAAAAGATCGAGTGAATGGGTTTTCTAGCGGTATTCAATTGGGATGCATAGAGTTACCTACCTTCTTTGATCGGAACATGTGCTACATAGGTTGTTTATTATGAATGACTAGCTTAAATTCTTTTAACAATGTATGCGCATTTATTGATTACTTTAGATTAAATTTGCTGGTAACAATAGTACATGATTCCATATGCATTTTTTCAGATAGTTTTGTGGTTTACAGTTGGAGCCGGCTATGAGGGCGTGGCAAGTGTGTTGATTTTGACCTGTCATTCACATAGCGGTGTCGTCGATTTCAGCGGCAACACGTGCACTTCCCTGTTCGCCACCCTTCTGGTAGGTAAGCGTCATACACTTTTACCTTCTTATCAAAGTAGTGTGCGAAAAACGTTAAATCATGTTGAAAATAATCAAATGATTGCTTATAAATAATATGAGTCGACAAAAATACGAAGGTAGGGGTACATAATACCATATAGGCCTAGGCCCTAGCTTCGTTATATCACCGGCATTTCTCTGTCAGCGCTGTCTTCTCGGTGTGCCTATCTTATCTTAGCAAAAAACTGATATACAATAGTGGTCCAGTCCATTTATCTAAATAGAAATAAAACTGAGTTCCCAATGTGCCTACAGAATATCTGTGGCCCAGTCATCTAAGGTGCCGCGATTCGCAGTGCAGAGTTGTGTCCCTTGGGCACACCATAAACCTATGATTGTGGGTTCAATCCCGGTTCACCCTGATTATGTTCTAGGTTTGTCAGCACCATACCTGTCCTCGTGGGTTTCACCGAAGTGGTAAACGTCTGAGACCTGCATGATTTCGGGCTTTCCTCCCACGTTAAGCTGACACACCGTGATATAACTGGAATACTGTTAAAAGCAGCCTTTAACCCAACTCACTCACTCACTCACCTTAACATATACTGAACAACAAGAGTTCCGGTGACATTGAATAAGATTTAATGCAAAGTTATGTTTTTTACCAAATCTGAAACAATTTCAGTTTGCAACTGATAAATGACTCCTGTAAGTGTTCAAATGGTTTAATTTGCCATACTGTCTTCAGAAAATGCGTGATTTCATAAAAAACATGAACATGCCAAAATGTCAGTTTACAAATCAGTAGCATGTGTGTCCACTTCTGGTTGCAATGCAAGCAACACATCTTCGTCTCATGGAATTGACCAGGCGTCGCACAAAATCCTGTGGGATATCTGTCCACATCTGCTGGAGCACAACTTTACTTGTTTGAAAAATATACTAAAATATTGGTGTCACAGGAACTTTTGTTGTTGAGTACCGTATTTTTCTTGAGTAAAGTGCGCACCTTTTTTCCAAAAAACACAGCTGTGTAGAAGGGGGTGTGCATTATACACGAATTAATGAGTTTTGATGTTTTTCCCCCATGGAAAGACATTACCGTGAGCGCGTAACAACGGAAATACCATGTAAAAAAATCCATACTGAACTAGGCAAATTAGTCATGTAATTACACTGTCTGGCTATAAAAAGTGTTCTTTGTTTATCTGGGCTTATGTTTGTAACTTATTTCATTAATTTTATTCAAAATTCCTTTTAATATTGTTTTAATTCATTTCGGCGAAATTGTGTGTGAAGCGATCGGAAGATCGCACAACTCACCATTATTAACAGCAACCACGTTTAGATTAACGCTATTAACGCCTTGAAACAAACTTTAGTTGACAGAGAATGGATACATATATCATAAATGCCATACTGTGACTCGGTACATATCAAAACCCATAAAAATGACTGATCCTTATCATGCCTTAACTGTTTAGCGGTTTGGTAAGGACTATAGGATTAGTGCCAATTTCTATTGTTGATAATTACAAAGGTGTGTTAATATGGTCATCCTTTTCATTACTTTTCTATCATTTGCAATAATGATAAATTCTATGCATATCTATGTATTACACCGATTTCAGTACCTTTGAAATCTAGAATGACTGGACAGCTCAATTTATTTTATGTTTCATACGCTCCTAACTGATAAGTTGTAGGTATAGATCTAAATGGAAGATTACCATATGGCCAAAAATTAGCATTTACCGTATTCGACGTAATAAGCGCCCAGGGCGCTCTCAAAATTAGAAATAGGGGGCTCTTATTAGAATATTATTTTGGTGGAAAAAAGTGAGTTGAAAGTTAAATTTCGTGGTTTATGCTGACACACTGAAATGTTTATTTGCGACAGATACATTTTTCCAGAAATTAATTACCCATAATTAAGAATGCATATAACACACGAGTGCATATTATACGCGAATAAATAAGTGTTGTGTACATTGATCAATCGGAAGGGGTGCTAATTGGAATTGTTCACTAGCCAATATATTAGCAAATATCGCTGTGGGCGCTTATTAGAGCAGGGCGCTTATTATGTCGAATACGGTATTTATTATTATGGGCTCGTTTGTAGTGTGTATCAGCCACATCAGTGGTATAATGATGTAAGTAGTAACACATGCAATAACTACCATGAGACATGTATCAAACGATTAGATTATGCGTACTCTGAATTGACTCAAGCTTTATCTTTACTCAAACATATACAAGTCAAAAGGAATGTGTGCATTGTCAGAAAGAAATGCAAACATTAGCGACTTATAGTGTAACCACTGAGCTATAGTGAGTTTTTGTCATTAAACAATATATCACGTGACTAACCATGGATCCGGGTAGTCCTGTGGGTACCCGGGTCCTACTCAGGACCCACCCGAACCGAGTACCCGAGTTACCCGTCTCAGCCCCAGCACACGTGCTTTGCAGATCCTGCGATCGACCGAAATCTGCAGTTTACAAACCGGATGTCAATTTTGTTATGCGATTTTGACTATGCATTACTCGTTAGTCCAGCCAAAATATAACTCCTTAATTTCAGCAAGGAAAATGGACACAGCAACTTAATTTTGTTTTCAGAGATCAACGGGTAGTGAACAAACCCAATTCAAATGTCGATGACACGAAACCTGTTTCGATAATAGTTGCCAGGCAATAATATAAATCTGGAGTGCTGTTTTCCTGAAAAAGTCCCAAGACAATATGAACTGTGATGTGGAGTTTCAGTCTTAGTTGGGGCGCTCAAAAGGATTACTTACAGACTTGTCTAGAAGTTAGTCAGGTGTAGCTAATTGGAGCTGTGTGCTTAGTACGAGGAATACGGTAGTTTAACAGTGGCTACATTTAGTCCTCTAGTTGACTAGATACCGTTTTGGCAGCTGTTTCATCCCTTGGCAATATTCTACACGGAATGTCCATAAATTATTCTGTACTTAAAATATTCTTGACATCAATTTTGTAAGCTATATCAAAGTGTGTCGTAAAAATCAATGAAAAAGTGGGTGACATATGTGGACATTATTTCTGCAAAATATTAATTGAATCTAACTGTCAACCTGTCACTGGTTTCATAAAGCAGAGAAAACCAATACTGTCACGCCAAACATAATTTCAATTTTTTATGGTTAGGGTAACTCACTGAGCATATCTGGAGTTATCTGCCCTTGAGCAAAGTGCTGAGGTTCGTCCTTGACCCCTGGCTGTCCTCTCCATCCAATCAGAAGGAGCAGTGGAATACTGTAAACTTTTGGAGATGTCGGTGACATCAAGGGGTTCACAGTATTGCCCAGACCTGAGTTCTACAGGAAACAAAATATTATTACCTTGTTATTTTCAATTAAGGCTCAGAATTGTTCTGAAAAGAAATATACTGTTCCATTTCCGGGGAATTATCTTGGATTCCAAACTAAGTGCTCTTCCAGGCAAACTGGGAAAAAATCATTATTTTGTTCCAAATTGGGATTTTTTAAAATGTCTTATTTTCCTTTGATTGAATTTTAACAATGCGTTTAATGCAATAATGTTAAACTAAGCATGGAAGCCTCTACCTCTTTATTTGTCCTCAGTGATATGAATCACATTACATTACAGAAAGACTTGAAGGGGTGGCAACTGGACTTTTATAGTCAGTTAACTCCTTTACCTCTGGAAGACCGCCTCTGTGGTCTAGTGGTAGAGCGAAAGGTCTGGGGTTTGATCCCCGACTGCGTCATACCAAAAGGGGGCGGTCGGGTAGCCTGGTGATTAAAGCGTTCGTTCGTCACGTCGAAGACCCGGGTTCGATTCCCGACATGGGTACAATGTGTGAAGCCCATTTCTGGTGTCCCCCGCCGTGATATCGTTGGAATATTGCTAAAAACGGCGTAAAACCTCACTCACTCACACCAAAAGATGTAAAAAGATGGTACTTGTTGTTACCCTGTCTGGTGCTCGGCATTAAGGGGCTAAAACAAGAACTGGTCGGCTCGGAGTCAGTATACTTTGTCTGAGTGGGGTATTCATGTTAAACTGCGGCATGGCATCTCAGTGAGCTAGCACTATAAATCGGCATCAGTTCGGACTAGTACAAGCATCCAAACACACACACGTGCATGCACGTCGCTATATAAGTGGAATAATCTTAGACGCGACGTTAAACCCAATTTCACCCCACCTTTACCTCTGGAAGATGCAAGACAGTTCGTGTGATTTCTAGGTTTTGGAAATAACAGAGGCAGTGTAGTTACAATGTATGTATAAATGTGTTATAGGTTGTGGTAGACAGACTGTGAAGACTGTCAGATGTGACTCAAAGTTTAACATCAAGCATTCTTAAATAGTATTAAGTGCTCGACCTGTGCGCATTTGGTTGAAAGCTAAATGGCATCAAGATGACTGCTAACTAGGGACCCGGAAATCGGTCTGTGTGCCGGACTTGTCTGATTGTGACTGCAAAATGTCTGATTTGAAATAGTGCTGACCGGACATTTAAACATTTGGACAACATGAGTCGGAAACAGGGACATTGATTCTCCCCCATATATATCTACGATGTGTTTTACTGCCAACAACACTCGATACATACAAAGATCTAATATATATATATATTACATCTATGTATGTATCGAGTGTTGTTGGCAATAAAAAACATCGTAGATATATCCGTGAATTCAGGTGAACGAAAAGGTATAACAAACTTGGTCGATAAAAATATAAAATTTGATATAAAACTTCACTACACATGATGATTTACCATTAAAATTGTATTTCCTGCTTTCCAAGGCAATGTTTTATATGCAGAGGTAAGATTACCGTGTCTGTTTTCTCGTAAACTAAACAATCAGCTGTGCACACGTTCTCGCAACAATCTACTGGTGATTCAGTCAAAAAGTACCCAATGATACACCATCAAAGAAGTTTGATGCAATGGTCGGAACAAACTGTATCTGAAATTATTATTTTATCAGGAAGAATGTATTCCAAAATCATGTTATTTTA